ATTTGCTGTGGCGGTTGCTCGGTTGGTTGTCTTTGGTAGATTGTGGGTTTGAGGTCGACAGCTCTTAGACACTGTGTGAAGAGAGAGTGTGTGTGTGTGTGTGTGTGTGTGTGAGAGAGAGAGAGAGAGAGAGGGGAAAATAAAGGGTAGGGGTGGGGAGTTGGTGGTGGGTGGACTGGCTTTCACAGCTGAATAACTGGGTCAGTTTAAGATGATGACGCTTCTGATCTCCTCAGCTCATCGCGGGGTATTCACTGTTCACTGCTTGGCTTTGCAGCGAGCGACCGCTGCTCGGTCATACTTCTCTCTTGTCCTCCTTTTTCACTTTTTTCCCCCTTAACTCAGTATAGGCACAAAATAGCTGCAGGGAAATGTCTGTGTTTGTAGTATGTGCAATGTGTAATGGTGCTTCTACATGTTAGAAGAACACTCAGTGCCAGAGAGATCCGTCATTAGACTGTAAGGGGGCGGCAGTAGCTCAGTCTGTAGGGACTTGGGTTGGGAATCGGAGGGTCGCCATGTTCACGTGCCAGTGTGGACCCAGTCTGGAAATTGGTTTGGTAGCTGGAGAGGTGCCAGATCACTTCCTGAGCACTGGCGAGTGGCCGTGGAGCAAGACACCGACCCACCCACCAGCTCAGGAGCTCTGAGCTGAACACACTCTCTCTCTCTCCCCTGATTTCTGACTCAATGCAATGTCCTATCTCTAAATAAAGGTAAAAAAGCCCCAAAATAAAACAAAAATAAATTAAAATGCCATTAACAAGCTTTAATTTTTATCGTGTTGTTACAATCTAATCGACCAAATAAATGTAGCAGAAGCAGACATACTGTAATTCTCTTCCTTGTTTGTCTGGTAGAAGCCACAAAGAAACGTCATCCACCAACAGTTCAGTTGGAGATTAAAGCTGTATTTATAGGGTCACACAATCCAGCTCTCAGGACAAGTTAAGGTAGATGAATCTTATTTCCAATTTTGTGGGCGCCTCCATCTTGCGGTGTGGCCGCCATAACTGTGGTGGAATCTCAGCGTCTGCTGCTGACTGTTACAACAGCATAGATCATATGTATTAAAAATGTCTTCTACTGGTTTCTAAAAGTAAAATGACATAGTAGGTTATGTAAACAGAATATTGTTCACTTCTCAGGACAGCCACAGATGTTGTTGGGAGACACCACCACAGTAATGATTCAAAAAAAGGGAACGATGTCTTTAACAGGAATCCAGTATCTATACTTTTCCTAAACTAAACTTCGGCTTGTAGAATCTAGCCGTGTGAGAGCAATTTATTTAATTCAATAGCATGTTCTGAACTATTTTGCATTGTACTCTTATTAAATTGTAAAATTTATGATTGGCAGAATCAAAAGCATTGCAGCAGAACCAGACCTTTTTTTTAACCCATGCATTTCTTCATACATGCCTTATAACATCTAATCCAGATGCAGCATCTACCACCAACAGTCCAGCAGGTGATTCAGGCATCTCATGCTGTGCTTGTCAAATTAATCATTCAGACAAATTGCCCAAAAAGACACGATGACTGGACATAAAAAGTCTAGTGAGCTCCATTCTTTCTGATTTCTCAGAGATTTTATAAATTCTCTCCTCCAGTGCAGGTGCAACCAAACCTGGAAACGTATCAGACTTTGTGCAGCCTCCTCTGGAGTGTCAATAGACTTCAGTCCACACATGAAATGTATTCAAACTCCGTAAGAGCTGCAGCAGACTTTGATGTGTAAATGCAGTTGACTTCCCGGCTAAATTGGTTGAAGTGCTTGCTTGAGTGTGTTTGCTTGGTTTGGCTTTGGTGTCACTTTGCGCTTGCAAAAAACTCATTATAGGCACACAGAGATATGTCATCTCTTCCCTGTGGCATTTGAAGAAAATTTGAATCGCTTTTACTTCATGTGTTTACCATAATTTGTTTTAAAAGTATTTCTTTACCTGTCATTTTTAGTCTGGGTTTTCCTTGTATTAAATCATTATTGATATTAATTGTTCACTTTTTTTTCTATCCCTGTTAGGCATTTTAATATCATAGAGAAATAAATATGACTTGACTTGAATTGACCAACCACCGTGTGGGCAAATTACATAATTCATGTATAGAAGACACAGCATTGTTTGAATCAAATAATGCCCTCCAGTCAACTGTTTCCTTCCCCATTTAGACCGGCAGAGTGCTTCTCATTCAGAAAGCCTGATGTTATCACAGAGTTTCAGCTTGAGCCTCCTCCCCGTCTCTTTTGTCTGGAGCATCATTGATGCGTTCAGCTCGTAAGGTTATTCCAACCCTGGACAACCCTGTGGCCAGGATTGCCATCGTTCTCCATTCAAGCAGCAAACCATTAAAGATGCACAGAGAAGGGGGTGTTTACTTAATACCTCAGCCACAATGCACTGAATCAATCTAAAGGACCATCACATGAAAGTAATCAAGCTCCCACCATCAATAATGAATGGCACAATCAGCAGGGTCCCATTGTGGAAGGCTGAATGGGAGAAAAGATCGCAGGGGAGGAGCTCTTGAGCATCGCTATGCTGTTCAGCTGTTGCAAAGATGATCATTATGATGAGACCAGAGTGAATCATGTTATGTTTGAGAGTGCAGCATACTGGAGTGGATTTGTTGGATCAAGAAACAAGAAAAAGCCGACTTAACTTTCAATGAATTTTATTCAAAAAGGTCAATTTTTTTCTGCATGCAGAAATATGAAAGAAACATGTCATCAGCTTTTTGGGACTATATTACACCCAGCACAAAGCGCAGATGTCTCTCCTATCTTCCACCTGACACAGTTTTCATTTTCATGCCCAGCACCTGTGTCACTGAAATTGCAAATGACCTTGAGCCCCGGTTAGCATAAAGTGATGAATGTCTTAAAATGAGGTGTGTTCAGGCACAAAGGTGGTGAGTTCCTATATTGAGGACCCAGAAATAGACTGTGCCTTAGACCAACACTAGCTATCCTCCATGCACGCATGCTCTGCTGGTGCTGTCTAATACACTCAGAAACACTCACACACTCTCATGCAACTGAGAGCTGGACCTATAACAATACTTTTACATACTGTGGCTATGAGTTCCATTGACAATCAAGCCCAGTGATACACACTGTCAAATGTACATCACTCACGCTTTACACGTATGTGAAATCATGTTGTTTATGTGAAAAATAACCATGTTTACATTGCATGTAATCAGCTACTGAATTTGAAGGTATGTTTCAATCAATTTATCAAACATCTTTATGAATCCAACAAGTGGGAATTGGTTAGAGGCAGAGTGCATTTTTAACTAAAGCACAAAAATATATACAAATGCAAAGAGGCAATGGGATCCCACATTTTTACAGATGACTATACTGATAAATATCAAACATATATCAGGCTGTTAAGAAGGTAAAATAATTCTACATTTCATATACTTATATTTTAAAGACAGATTTTTAGACATTGATTGCCTGGTCTGACTTTATTAATGTCTCTAAATTGACTGACTGGCGAGTAATAGTTCAATGTATGGCTGATAAGGTAAAGTAAGGCAATGCATCTCGTAATTGAATTCCCTTGGTTGTTTTTCTAAATCATTTAAACCTTTTAAACCTATTCTTTTAAAAGCGTGCATTAAGACTCTCTTAAAGATTGAAAGGCTTGTCTAGATGCCAGGCTCGGGTGCACGTAGCCTTACCTTACTTTACCTTAGCAGTCCTTGAAACATTATACAGACAACAGTCCAGTAGGGTCACTAACTCAAACAATGGAAGCATTGACGCAGTGTAGAAGTTGATGAGTGCATGTCAACACTTGATATTTTCTCTCTAAGCACTTCCTCTCAACACTCGCTACACACATTGTTTCTCCTCTTGTGGTCGGTTGAGTTCACAAATGTTCCCTGTGATAGTACTGGCGTGACTTAACTCCGCCTTTGCAGGGTGTGTGTCCAGAATTTTTGACTTCGTCGGCCCAGCTGGGGTCATATGACCTATGCAAAGGTGGGATGAAGTTAATGTGTTTGCTGTGCACACAAACATCCAGTTAGCATTATTTATGTGTGACTAATGAACAGTTTTTAGTCGAATAACAATTCATGTGCGGATTCAAATATCTACCTGGGCATTAAACTGTAAATGGTTGATTATTTATTGTCATCTGAATCCATGGTATCTGTAAATACTGTAACTGCTACATCTTTAACACAGCTTGTATATACAGAAACCTTATACTGCCATATTTATTTCAGCACCATTATCCTCCCATTGCAGTTTGTGTTACCTTTTTCTATTGTTGCGTCAGTGCATTGAGATAATATAAAACAGTACTCAAATTCCCATTATGTGAACGCATACCTGGCCAACAACGCTTATTCTTTTTGTCATTTATTTACCTTTTTTGCCTCCATTCATCATATCTAGTGAAACTTCTCACGTTCAAGTAGGCTATAATTAAGCTCCTAGGTTTATTCTTCTTTTAAATTCAAAAGATAACACAATACAATAGTACTACACAAATCTTCCTAAAATAATTCCCCCCAAAATGAGATGTTTCTACAAAAGTCATTAATAAAGCACCAAAAAAAGGAATATGAAACTAGCTGATTTGAACTAAAGACCCGCCTCTGATAGCCAATCGATATTAAGCATTAAATCAATCAATACATTATTATTCATTCTGCCAAATCATACCGAAGATGATCTCAACATTAGTCACAGAAACCTTACATGAATCCACCAATAGTCAACATTTGCAGTAAGAACTTCCTTGTAACAGGCCGAAACGTGAAGCAGAACCAGACTCACTGGTGAACAACAATCTGCCATGACCCGTTTGGCTGAGAAATTGGGATAACAACTGCTGTTGCCTTTTGTGTACACCCCAACTGAATACAAGACTTATTTAGCATATTAATGTTCACAGTGAGCAGCCTTTTATTTTTGCTCTGTTCATGAAACTAATGTCTTCTTCCTCTGTGTCTTCTGTGTCGTTTTCTCCCCAGGTGGTGTTAGTCTTTGCACTCAGCATCGGGGCCCTCGGAATATACTTTATAGACTCCTCGGAGTAAGTATTCATTTCATGACCTATATTCTGAAACAAGTGAAAAACTTCCCAGCAGCTACACTGATGATGAAATATAGATACAATGAACTTTGAATGTATTAGGTGCATGCAATTACATTGGCCTTAATGCTGTATCTGAATAATATGAAAACATGCATCCTTACTCATCTCCACACACTGCAATCTCTGAAATGCTAATTCACACCCCCACAAGTACTCACAAGAACACACACAGTACACACGCACACACACACACACACACACACACACACACACACACATGTACATCTGCATCTTAGGATTTTTCAATGGGAGGCCTGTCAGTTTCCATGGTAACAGAGACAGGCAGATACAGTGCAGGCAGTATTGAGGAGCCTGTTCTCTGTGTGAGTAAGTCAGTGTGTGTGTGTGTATTGTCAGTTTATGCGTATCCCTGGCTGGCAGTCACCCAGAGACAGATTGCAGGCCTGGCATCTCTCCGGTAACCACTGCAGCTACTTTCACACAATCCAGACCCAAAGTGCACCTTTTAAAGGGATAGTTGGATGTATTTTGAAGTCTTGTTAGTTTTCTCCCTGGAAGAAATATTGACTCATTAGCTCTGGCAGGGATCCAAATGTCAGGCAATAGTTGTGAGATGCATCATTATCAGGTTGAAAAGAACACCATCTAAAAGAAGCTGGGAACCATTTCTCTCATTCTAGTTTACTATGGTAGGTTGTGTGCTGGAAAACGTTCCTATTGGTCATGAAAATGTTTTCAATCCTTTTAGTTTAGCAATAAATAGCAGAACACAACAGTAAAAGGTGTTATCTTTCCAAGACTCATTTCTTCTAATTTACAACTTGAAACAGAATGTTTGGCAGCAACTCTTCACCTCTTCACTTTAATTTCCACAAGCTGCTGTAGTCGCACAGTGACTCAAACATACAGATTTGAAAATGAAGTGTGGCAATTTATCGTTTCCAATTATGTAAAAGTTGATGCATTTGCCTCTGGCTGTGAACAAACCAAACTGTGTTTCCATTCCCTGAAATGACTCAGTGTGACTTTGACTGCACTGTATTTCATGCACCACTGACTTACCAAAATCAAGTCTCAAATATTTACTTTGGTGCCTGAGGTTATGGAATGTTTATTGCAAAGCGACCATGACAAATAAAACATACAACTCTATGGGAAGATCATTTCCCTTCGTCTGATAGCTACAGTGCAATGTTTTTTAAGTATGGGCTAGCTTACTGTAGTTTGATTTCACTTAAATACAGTATCTGTGGACTTATATGCCTGAGGCCACTTAAAGTCTAAAAACAGATCCAGAGATTTAATCTAAAATCCAAGTTACAAAGCCTTATCTTTGCAGCAATGGTGAATTATGCCTGGCATGACATCACCCATATGTACAGGATTAAATCTCTTTTTTGTATACCTACTGCCTCTCTGTCTCTCGTTCATATTAGTAGAAAAATAATGGAACTGAGAGAAATGTTTTTACTATAAAAGTCCCATTTAATATTTAGCTGAGAGGAGTGACATGTTGATTGATAGAGCAATAACTAAATGAGGATAACAAATTAGGGATGAACATTAAACATATTATGCTGCCAGTTTCATTTGAAACAGCAATTTTGCATCTGGGTTTCTAAATCATTATTGACCACATGAGTTTTTAGCAATCAATGACTCATTCAAATCTTGTCAAAAGCAGCCCGAACGAATGGGATGCAGAAACAGCCAATTGTTGCATTTCGGATGTTGCAACCTTTAAATAACAGACTATTCTTTATGTTACACAATGTTCATTTAAGTGGTGCAAATCCTCCTTGTTACATTATAGATTTTACATGTTGCATTGCCCTGTGCACTTCAACTTTGGAAAGGCTGTAAATAATCTGTAAGAGATGCATCGCCATGAGGTCTAGAGTGACATTGACATTATTAAGAGTCTAAGTTGACACCTGAGTCAGCTGTAGCAGATCCACTCGACAATAACAGGGGGTGGTTGGTAGCACAAGGTGCTGCAGAGCTGTACTTTCGCTCATATTTCCTCCTTTCATTTTGTATGTTACAGTACACTTTGAGTGTATTTTCATGTGAGCTGGCTTCCCTGAGGCATCGCCCTGATCTCTCTGTGCTCCCATTAAGCTGAGGCCCCTCTCTACCCTCATCATCATGATTAGCTCAAGCTTGTCACTTGAGTGTGCACGTCCTCTCAAGGGGGACTACTGATCATCCCAGAGCAGGTTCAGCCGGCTGTGGGGGCTTTAACAACCTAAAAATGGCCAGGCATGTGTTACAGTATAGGAAACTTTCACTACAATAACTGTTAGTTGTACACTAACACTAACTAACACTACACTCGTAGTCACATCTAATTGGGACGCCCTGCAGCTAAATCTGTCTCAAATGTCTCTTAGGAAAGTCCTGTTTTCCTCTGGACAAACATCTATATGACATATAATCAAATGTCAGAAATTATGTCAGGAAAAGGAAACCTGCGAAAAAATCAGTAAGGGTATAATGGCTGAAAATATGAATGTCACAAAGACATGTTGATATTGTATTCTATACAAATGTTACAATCATAAACTGAACCAAAGTTGTGGACAAAATCCATGAAACTAATTACAATTACAAATTACATGAAATTCAATTAAAATAAATAAATTGTACTCAACATAAGTATGTTCATATGTTACATCAATAAATGATATAAAAAGTGTATTGACAGGTTGTTACAAAAAAGCCAGTGTGTAAGCCTGAGAGAAAAATAGAAGAGAAAGGGGATGGAGTGGAAGCCAATTAAATAAGCTGAGGCACAATGAACTCAGGTATAGGCTGTTTTTTAATGTCCCTTCCCTACTCCGCCCATTGGCTCTTTAACCAGGAAGCCAAACCAACCAGATCAGCATCAGGCAAAGAAGATTGAATAAGCACTTTAGTCCAATCCTTAAAAAGTGATGGCCAGTTTTCACAACTTGGTTGACTTCTTGGCTTCACTTACATCCTGATATTATTATGGTCAAGTCTTTTGCTCTACTGTTTTCCAAATCCACCGAAATCCTAAGAAAATACTTCTCAGGGTTCCAACAGAAACCACAATGCCTCTAGATAAAACATCTTCTTATTTACGTTCAGATTCTACGTTCACATGGAGATCATTGTTTGTAGAGATTTGTAATAGTCAAACAAGAAAGCTGAAAAATAGGGACGCACCGATATATTGGTTGACTATTGGTATCGGATGATTTCAGCTTTTGTTGGCGCACATCGGCCAATCGGAAAATAATGTGGCATGGATCGTCTTTGAGAAAGATCAGCCACAAGATAAGTTCCAGTGACTTTTGAGAGGAGGTACTTCTAACAACAATTTAAATACAAATCCAACATTTGAAATTAATTTGAAAAAATTACACAAAGAATTACAAAGAATTAATGAAAGAACATTGGCATCAGCATCGGCTAGAGGCTAAATTGTTCTTTTGAACATCAGTACTAATATCGTCCTTGATTTTAACAATAGGTGCATCTCCACTTTGAATCTTTTTTTTCCTTTGTGAAGTCAATTATCTTACACAACATTCTTCTGAAAGACACAAATATGGAAATAAGCTCATTCTCTGCATGGGTATGTTCCAATGGGTGGGCTCTTAAGATGACCTTATATCTGTCTAAATTCCCTGCCACTTAATGTTAATGACTGAGAAACTGAGGAGCAGAGATGTATAGGTCCTTTATTAATGGTAGTGATTTCTCTACCAAACATTGAAGGCCTTGTTGAAAAAACTCTTGAACTATTCAAGGCTCAAGGATTTGTTTCCCCCTTCTTAACTCCCATTTTAAAACATAATACTCAGGATTATGGTAGTACCCATAATGTAAGAGCAAAAAAAAAAAAAAAAAGAATTGTTGGAAATAATTCAAGTGGGTCCCAGCTTTTATGTCTACTTCAGTGAAGCGAGGAAGTCCTTTTAGAGCGAGGACACACACACATACACACACTGCGTAAAAATACTGAAGTCTGTAAAATGCACGTTTCTGGTGGCCAGGCACGAGTCTCCAGGGAGCTTTTTTTTTGTTGCTAGCTTCAGACAGGTGGGGGCTTTCCTAGCAGGAGTTCGGTTGGCCAGTATCCTGCAGCAAAGAGAGCCATGAAAAAAGCGCACTGCAAAGCCTTCATGTAGATGGGAATTTTTAATTGGCTGCCCTCCCAGTTGAGCACAGAGATTACTAGTCATTCACTTGGCAACTGTGCTGTTGCCAAAATTACTTTTTATTAATGAATGAATGGAAACGTAGCCGAGAACTACTGTTCATCTGTTGTTTTAAAATATTGGTTGTTTTCATGTTAAGGCACCACCTTTTATGTTCCTCTGCAGCATACCTAACTCGCCAAAACTGGTGCTATTTTAGGATATTTTTAAGTGGCAGGATATACTGCATCCTCTCCCGCCCACCTCTGAACCTCTTTTTCCCTCCTCCGTGCTCTCAGGAAACAAATCGACAGGAATGTAGGACAAAGTCTCTGCAGGCTGCTCTTCAGGGGATGCCCTTGTTCCTGCTCCACTTCTGTTTCTATTTCCTTACTCTCTTGATCCCTCCCTGTCACACATACAGATTATTACAAGCACACAGTTGCAGAGTCACATTAACAAGCAAAAGCACCCACATGTACAGACAACGCGGTTTTGTCTTTGTCTAAGAGGCCTCATAAACAGCTGCCCTGGTCTGTAACTCTATCATGAGTATGCGATCAGTGTCAGCACTGAAAAAAGAAACAGTGCCTGATGACTAATTAATAGGGTAAGGTGAGAAATATGGTCGAGCTGTGTGGTGAGCTTGGCAGACATTGAGGCGATGAAGGATAACCTATATAAGGACCTCCTCTTCTTGGGTTGCTGACAGTACTTGGCTGTTAGGTCTGGTTGGCGGACATTAATTTTTAGGGAGATCAGAAAGGACCATGTTACCATGAATATATATACTGTATGTTTTCACACATCT